GGATATAAGCAAATGCCAATGAGGAGTCCAACTGATAGAAGAGGTAAATTATTTTCTCAGTGGATGGAATAGCTTTTGCAGGAGATTAGAGATGAGGGACTGATGAACAGTCATGGAATGACAATGTTTACTTGGCTAGAAAAAAGTTCATGAACTGGGTAGTAACAAGCATCAAATGCTCTCACCCACAAACTGTTGGCTGGTCAAGTGTTATGCAACCATTATGAGGAGTATGAATATGACATATTGAGGAATCAAAAGCTATTACAGGATTAAGAAAATAAAACTGGCAAGGAAAAAGGCTAGTGACTATGGTTGACAGAAAAAGAAACAGACTGGGAATCACAGGAGCAGAATATGAGTATCTAGAAGAGCTCATGGGCAGCTAGATGGCACAGTGGATAAAGTGCCAGATCTAGGGTCAGGACTCCATCTTCCTGAGTTCAAAACTGGTCTCAGACACTTATTAGCTGTAAGACCCTGGGCAAGTCACTTAACCCTGTTTGTCTCAGTTTCTCCATCCGTAAAATGGGCTGGAGAAAGAAACAGCAAAGAACTCCATTATCTTTGCCAAGACCCCAAATGAGGTCAAGAAGAGTCAGACACAACCGAAAAACAACTGAACAACAATAGAAGAGCTCACAGAGGTGCAGTTACTAATACTTTAGGCCTCAGATTATTCATACGTAAAATAAGAAGTTTGGACTAGACAACCTCTAAGTCAGGTTGAGATGAGATCAATAGCTACAAGTGTTCTCCCCTTCTTCCTTCACAACAGAGGCTAGTTTCCCCTAAAAGCCAACAAAACTGTCCCTGGAACCAGACTGATCTTTGTCTCCTTTGATGGAGTTCCCTGATTCCCTAAGGCAGTAAAAGTCCCAGCCACAAGGATTTGGGGCTTATCTAACTTGGATGTCAGAAGATAACCAAAGACCCCATATCCCACTCTGCTGATCAGAAGTGTTTCCATGTGGAGTTGGGGAGAGGCAGTTATGTCCAGTAAAGCTAAGTGCTATTGAATCTTTACTGCATTTCCCTGTCATGTTATGTTAGGATTAAGTAAACCTCCTTTGGTTAACTGTTCAATGACTTTTGAGTGGCTCATTTTGTCCCAACAAAAAAATATGAACTAATAAGGAGACAGAATCAAGCCTACTCCTAACACAGGGGTTCTTAACTTTCTGCGTGTCATAGACCCTTTAGTAATCTGGCAAAACCTACAGACTCCTCAGAATCATATCTTTAAATTCATAAAATAAAATCTATAGAACCTGTGGTGATGCTGTAGTCTAAGATCCTTATGTTTCCATCCAGGGTAGTTCTAAATGTTTCAGAGAACTGAATCGTAGGATCAAAGTTGGATGGGGCCTTGGAAATCAATCTAATTCTACTATCTCATTTGAGAAGCAAAGAAACTGAAGCCCAGGCAGGTTAAATTATCTGTTGAAGAACATGGTATAGCTATTAGGCAGCAGATCCACGATTCAAACCCAAGCCTTCTGACTCCAAATTCAATGCTCTCTTCATTTTGTTATGCTGACTCCCACTAGGCACCAATTTCACTTACATAGGTTTGTTGTGTTTCTTTTTTTTTTTTTTTGAAACAACTAGCCTTGTCTGACCTAAACTAATCCTCTCCCCTCCATTTGCACCATCAGTGCCCTGGGATCTCTGGCCTCGAGAGATGCAGAGCAAAGATGCTTGAAAATCTAGCTTATTCCATATGAGGGCACTCACCAATTCACCAAGCCCAGTCAGTAACTTCATGTCTTGAGCTCAACTAAAATCTTCTTGTACCTGTAGATGGTGCTAATAAATTATTCTGGAATATAATTAAACTTAACATAGACACAAGTAGCTGCAGTCTGGCTACATGAATTAAAATGCCATATACATACACAGTAGAAAAAAAATTAGGTCAAAGAGACAACCAGCCTCCCTCCTGAAAATACTAAGCTCCTGTTCCTCTCTCAAAGAAGCATTTCCAAATGTGTGAACACCTGGAAGAATTACAACAAAAGACTTGCGTAAGCAGAACAATTAACACGAAGCAGGAAAGAGTACCAGGCCTTCCCCAAGAGGTTTCATTAAGATAAATCTTATCTGAACTTCAACAGCCATTTTTTTATGTGGCAGACCTGACTCAGACAGGTGATTTGCATTCATGCTGAAGCCTTGTACACAACCCCAGCAAGCCTTTTCCAAAAAGCTAGGCTCTTCTCTGCTGAAGATACTGCTCTTTGTCTCAAGGTACTTCTCTGAGGACATTCAGGAAACCAAAGAACAAGGCTCTGGCTCAGAGTGGGCACATGATATCATTAACACTGACATTAAAAAAACAAAAACAAAAAAACCCCAAAACACTAAATCTTTCCTCCATCAGGAAAACTATGAGCACTAAACTGAGCCGGGAGTCAGGAAAATCAGATTCAAATGCTGATCCCATCCCCAGCAAACTCTGACCTTGGGCCAGTCCTCTCTCAGCTTCATTTTCTTCATGTGTCAAATAAAGTATCTGGACTAGATGATCTCTATGGAACTTTTCAGCTTTAGCAATCTCTGACAGAAAGAACGGAGTTTTAGAGTACTGACTAGTGAAAGCAAGTAGAAGATGGGTTTCAGGGGAGGGGAACTTGCAGCCTCGAGGCTGTGTGGCCTTCTAGGTCCCTGGGTGAGGCGCTTGACTGAATCCAAACTTCACAAAAGAACAAATACCACAGAATTTGTTCTGTAAAACTTGGACTCAGTCAAAAGGCCACACTTGAGGACCTAGAGGGCCACATGTGGCCTCGATGCCGAAGGTTCCCCACTCCTGAAGGTCCTACAGGATCATTTGAATAAATTGCTTCCACTCTGTGGGGGCTCTGAAATGTTACCATCTGAACACAGGACAATCCTGCCTGAAAGGGAGCCCAGCCGAGTGGCTAATCAATAAAGTAATGTTTTATGACATTAATACTGATTGGTGCCATTGTTCTTTCCTTATCATGGACTACGTCCATATTCTACATTTCAGAGTGCTGCTTCTGTCTGTAGAAAAAAGGGCAAAGAACACTGCCATTATACTTGATGAGCTGAGAGCATGGGCCCAAATTCAGTAGGGAAAGGGTTTCCTTTTTGTCATTTCTGATATTTGCACAATGGCCACAGTAAATGATATGTATGACAACTAACTACCCTGGTCTTTCGCAACCTCCATTATCTTCTCTTCCACAATCCAACCCCTACCCCACATACAGCTTTCCTCTTATCATTTCTCATGGATCTCCATTATGGACTCTCTACTTCTTCAAGGTCATTCTGCTTGTTATTCCCACCACAATCAATGCAGCCAACTCCCAACCCACATTCCTCCACTACTCCTCCTCCTTCAAAACACCACTCAAAATTCACGTATCTTGAAGTGTTCTCTTTGTTAATCCTGCTCCATTACCCCATATCCATTAAGCTTGTAAATATTGATAAATCAGGTTTGGATTAGATTAATTTGCTTCTATTAATGTCCTTTGGAAGTACTTGTGTTTGTACACTCTCCCACATTAGACAATAACAGTTTGAGGACAAGGTTTGAGTATTTCCTTTGTATCTAGTTCAACACTATGGACAAACTGACCAATTGAGTGAATAACGTATATATAATTCCATAAGAATATTTCAAGCTCAAGTTCAAAGATTTCTCAGGGTCATGGACTAGCAGTAGCTTAAATGCCAAATGTTTAAAAAGAAGCAAATGGGGGCAGCTAGGTGGCACAGTGGATAAAGCTCTGGCCTTGGAGTCAGGAGGATGAGTTCAAATCCAGCCTCAGACACTTGATCCTTACTAGCTGTGTGACCTTGAGCAAGTCACTTAACCCCAATTGCCTCACAAAAAAAAAAAACAACAACAAAAAGTAAACGGTTCCAATGGAATTTTAGCAATAGATGTTGTAGAAATTAAATAATATCAAAGAAAAATCATTGTGCCCCAATTTTCTTTTTCTTCCCTTTGGGCTTAGTTTTCATGAGAACTCATGTGTTTAAAATATTCTACATGCTGGTTCCACATGTTTATGTTCTCTTTCACTAGCAACACTTGGAATCTGCATAAGTGAAAACCTGTGAACACTTATTCTTCGGAAGTTTGTGAACATCTGCTCCAAGACACTACCAACTGGAATGACTAAATAAAGAACTTGGGGTGATTCTGCTGTATTATGGAGGGTTACTAGACAGTTAGAGAAGGGAATTAAAGTCACTTGCAGATATCCTGCCTCTATGATTTTACTATCCTTTCATCATGTTTCCTAAGTGTTTTGCTGGAAACACTAGATATTCTCATCAAAGTGTTGATCCTTGTCCTAAGTGGGTTTTCACCAGTGGCCATCATATGCCAATGTCTTTGGCTTAAATTAATAAACTTCTTAAATGAAAGAGCACTTATTAAGCACTTACTATGTACAAAGTACTGAGGATACAAATAGAAAAAAGTAAGGTAGTCCCTGAAGGAATTCATTTTACAATGGAAGATAACATATACAGGAAACTTCAGCTGTAGGTCAGACAGAAAGTTTCCACGGTCCTTATGCTGCAAGTACAAAACAAATGGTAATGTATCTTCTTCAATATCATTTCCATTAACAGAACCATATTCATTTCTGATGTTGAACCATTTGAGAGTATCAAGGACTTTGGTGGAAAGGAAACTTTTTTTCAGGTCTGCAACAGCCATGACTATAGTTGGGAGGCTATAGACACTGCAGAGGTAAATGCCAAGGTAGAGCTCCATAAGGGTCACTGCCCTTTGTGATAGCTACAGCCAGGCTAGAAGAACAGCTGGTAGCACTATTACTCCCAGTACTCTTGGGCTTACCTGACCATCAGTGGCAACTGGTCAGTGGTTGGTATTGGTGATGGCAAAGATGACAGGCTCCTTCTCCACAAAGGTTACTTCCCCCTATTATGGTTAAAGAAGTTGGGTAGGAAGCTGTTATGCTCTGTGTTTATCTGGGTTAGGAACTTACCTCCTCAACAGGCTTCGGATGTCTCCGGCTCCAGCTGCACTGGAGAAATGACTCCACAGAACACCCCAAGACACTTTCAGAGCATATCTTTTTATTGTTACATCTCTGACTACTAGCGCGGCTCTGCCCCTCCTTTCGGGTACCTCCTTCTTATCCTCTCCGTCCACTCCTTTTCACGCCCCCCGCAGTAAGCCAATCATGTCCTGACCCGAAAGCAAAGAGGATTCGTGCTTCTTAATCATGTCATGAGCCGTTGCACGTGAGCAACTTAACTGACCTGCGCATCAGCTTAGTTGCCACGTCTGCTCATTTATTTTGACATGCGCAGATCCACCTTAATACTCCCAGGCAATCATGTGCACTTCTGCAGGTAAGGACAGAGTCATCTCACAAATGACCCTTACACTTCCCTTTTCTTGTTTTGCGGTGGACCGCCAAGGGGAAAAGATCAGCGCGAAAACACAAGAAGGCACCCTTCAGTAAAAGTCAGAAGCCAGCGCCAGGCACAACAAAGTATACAGACACAAAGAGCAAAGTATATAAAAGGAGTAATAAGGGCAATCAAAGATGACCAAGCAAATTTGCGTGTCATCCAGGAGACAAAATCCTGAGTGGAAGACGAGGGTATAGTGAAATTATCAGATAACTGTGAATATCCTTAATTAACAAACCCAGTTAATGTAATTCAGATGTGATATTATCAGATAAAAAGGCACCTTGTAAATGTTCACGAACCTTAGCCCAATGGCCAGGAAACGTAGAAGTACTGTTGACAGGTAAACTGGTAACACACAACCACGACTTATAGTGATAATGACATACAACAGAGGAAAGCAATTCATATAAAGCCAATTCGTTCCCTATTGTTAAAACAGTCTCCTCCAACAACTTTAATTCTTTATGCAAAGCAGTATCAATACGTACTTGCATATCCCAAGCCCTAGTCTCTTTTTGCATAAAGGTTTTTAATTCAGAAGCTAAATAGCCCATACCTTGATACAATTGCTGAATTTGAAATTCCTGGAAAGCGGATATAGCAAGATTAACAACATCAAAAAGTAACTCAACTAATTCTCGCTTAGGGCGGGATCACACAGTGCCTGCTAGCTGTACCCATACCGCCTCTGCAGCCGAACTGGCCCAAGGTAAAGCAGCTTTTACAGGTATGAGAATATATAAAGGTTGTCGAATTATAAACAAATAAGGATACTGTTGCAGTAAGGTACTATTAACAGCAGCAGTAACAATACATGAAGCCACTTCAGTCTGAAATAAACCCTTGTTAGTACATGGAACCAGCATAGGTAATTGAGTATATGTCAGATTTTGTTGTATGCCATCCCAGAAGGACAGAGTCACATTCACAACCGTCATTGTTATACTAAGACGAGTTGAACAAGAAGTGATAGGCGTCCATGTAGTCATATCACCCACGTGGCAAGGTGGTAGAACAGGCATTGAACCCCGATCTCCGGTATCGTTAGTCTGAGGAGATGATGTGACAGTTCTCAGCCGGTGTCAAGGTGGTCCACCTCCGTTCTTGTCGTTGTGTCGACTGACATATTGTCATCCCCAAACTCAGGCCCCACAGGACGTACCACACGATCGGGCACCCAAATCCCGGCATCTTGATCTGCTCCATCTGGAACGACAAAAGCATACCCTGGCCCATGCATTACAACCCTGCCTGGTCCCTTCCAGTCCCCATTGAGTTCTTTCCACACCACTTTCATTCCCTGTTTCATATTATGCTCACGAGCCATTACAGCTCTCCTTCCCCATCCATTCCATAAATGCCAATACTTCATGGCTGGCGTTAATTCATCCTGTCCAAATTTCAAATAATTATAAGTGTACAGAGCCATGTCCAATTGCTGGCAGGTAATTCTTTTACGGGGGTTAACACTAAGAGGATCCTGGCCGCCAGCTGCTTGTTGCGCAAGATCCTTCTTGCTGCCAGTTTCGACAGTCCCTTCCTGCTGCGGAAAATTCCCCATTGTCTGGGTTCTCTCTTTAAAGTCAGAAAGATCAGGATACAAAGATTTCTTATCTACAATTTGTGGGGCTTTTATGTTCTTTCTTTTCACTACCTCTTCCTCACTAAACATTTCCCATAAAGAATCTCTTGTCTGTGAAGCCTCAGGTACATTAATAGGAGAAGGACCATAAAGAGTGGCTTTTACTAAACTAAAAATAATAAAATCCAAATCTCTCACTTCTCCCGGATGTTTTTCATATGATGCTAATGATTTCCAACTACCGTCCATCTTTAAGATCAAGTCCAGTGTATTCTACCCACGGAAAAGTATTCACAATAAACGAACAAATCTTATACAATCAGTCCTTTTTACTTTCACTCCTTTTTCCTGGACCAACTCATATATTTGCTTAGCACATACTTCAGTGTCATTGGGGCACACCACAGGAAGACTAAACGCTTGTCCCATAGTGTCTGTACGGCACCAACCCTTCTTGCACACAGCAAGGCTATGGAGTCCTTCTAACCCTCGTCCTGTTCGGGCGCCACTTGTTATGTTCCGTGTTTATCTGGATTAGGAACTTACCTCCTCAACAGGCTTCGGATGTCTCCGGCTCCAGCTGCACTGGAGAAATGACTCCACAGAACACCCCAAGACACTTTCAGAGCATATCTTTTTATTGTTACATCTCTGACTACTAGCGCGGCTCTGCCCCTCCTTTCGGGTACCTCCTTCTTATCCTCTCCCCGTCCACCTTTTTCACGAGCCCTTCCCGCAGTAAGCCAATCATGTCCTGACCCGAAAGCAAAGAGGATTCGTGCTTCTTAATCATGTCATGAGCCGTTGCACGTGAGCAACTTAACTGACCTGCGCATCAGCTTAGTTGCCACGTCTGCTCATTTATTTTGACACGCGCAGATCCACCTTAATACTCCCAGGCAATCATGTGCACTTCTGCAGGTAAGGACAGAGTCATCTCACAAATGACCCTTACAGGAAGCAATGCCAATGGTCAGGTTTTAAAGACCAGAAATTGAGTCCAACTTGCTTTAGATGCCCTTTAACATAGTGCTATAGGCATTCAGTATCTTAATAAGTACTGTGTAAAATAGAGAAGCATAGATTTGTAGAATTTGAGAGCTAGAAGACCAAGTCTAATTTTAAGCCTCAGTGATCATCTCATCCAACCTTCCATATGTTACAGATAAGCAAAATGAGCCAAAAGCTGTCATTCACAGAGCCAAGATGACAATGAGGTAAAGGTGACGATGAGGAAAATGATAACTGATGATTAATGAGTGATTATAGTGGACTCAAATATAATCTCAAAGTTCTCAGGCAATGTATGAATATGTTTTGGGGAGAAACTGGCTTAGTAAAATACAATCTCACCTTGCACCAAGGAAGAAAATTTTGGGATAACTGCTAAATTCTTAAGATTTTAGTGGGGTTGTTTTTTCATTTTTAGTATTTTTCAAAAAGAGACCTCAATTATACGTGAGAGACTGGGTTGAATTGAACTATTAAGTAGTCAATAAAATATTCCTCTGGAGAGGACAAAAACAAGCAATGGATTTGTGTCCCATGAACTAAAAGATAGGGAACATTCTTTCTACCTCAAAAACATTTGTTTGTTTTTTCCAGCACTGCCCTTAATTATGTAGTCATACATCCAAAAAAAATTTATGCCAAAGTCAAACCAGTCTCCTTCTGACACACTTTTTTCCCCTCCCTTCCTTCCAATCTACTCTGCAAGTGAGATCCTTTGGGCACTCCTACCCAAAGAAATATTGAATTGCAAATGAAGACTGTCCGCCCTTAAAAACTGAACAGATAAAAAAAAAATTCTACAAATTCTTCCCCACAAAGTTAGTCAACTTCATCAAGGGAAAGCTAAACACTTTAGGATGGTAATGAAAATCTGTCAAGCTCATCTTGGTCCATTCTGGCTTCCAGAAACAAGCTGTCAGAACAAATTCGATCTCCTTTGCCTGGATCTACACTGAGCTTTAGGAGATTCTCTGATGTTCTTTTCTAAGCGCTGGTTAACAGTGACACTGAGGTCCAAAGGTACATTCTCCTTTTCTAGATTCTCCTTTGAATGGTTTCTGACCCCTGATAATAAAAACAATTCACATTGCTGTAGCACAACCTCATAATGTATATGTTAACAAGTTTTATTATACTTATTTTGCAAATAAGAAAACGAAGGCTGATAGAGATGGGGTAACTTGCCACCGAGGTAATTTACGAGGCAGAGCCTGATTCCAAATCCAGATCTTCTGATGCCAAATTCAGTGATGTTTACACTCAGATACACTGCCTCCTTCCTTTGGAGAATGGAGGATATTTCTTGATGACTCAATGACCTAACTCCCAAATCTAGAATATTCAGAGTGATGGATTTAGAGGGACCTTTTGTACATAAATGTATGCTGAGATGCCTTCTTCTAGAAAGTTGGATATGATAGTTAACAGGTATCTAAGAGTCTAGGACACTGTCTACTCTGTCCCTGATATTATCAGTGGTTTATTTATTCCTAAAAGTTGTAGATTGTACTTGAAAAGAATTTTTTCCAATGTAACAATGCTATAACTTGTAGCTAAATATACTTGAAATAGTACTACTAATGCTCTGTATCAAGAATCTTGTGAATTAATAATAGAATTTCAGATTTCAAAGAGATCTCAGATGCCATCTAATCCAATCTGTATCTAAACAAGAATCTTATCTACAGTATTCCTGACAAGTGGCAATCCAGCCTTTGCTGAAAGGGTTCTAGTTAGACAGAGCCTACTGACACTGCTCATTCCACCTTGGAAAGGCTTGTTAAGAAGTTTTTCTTTATATTGAATGGAAACTTCCTCTTTGCAATGTCCATGAATTGCTCCTAGTTCTGCTGCCAAGAACTAAGCAAAAACAGTCTAATCCCTTTTTCATATGCCAGCCCACCAAATATCTGAAGACTGCTAAATAGGCTTTGGGGGCTGATCTAGGAACATAACACCATTTGTAACATAAGTATACTTGTCTTGGGAGAGACAGCTAGGTGGTGAAGTGGCTAGAGCACAGGGCCCGAAGTCAGGAAGACTCATCTTCCTGAGTTCAAATCAGGCCTCAGACATTTACTAGCTGTGTGACCCTCGGGAAGTTACTTAACCCAGTTTACTTCAATTTCCCCATCTGTAAAAAGAGCTAGAGGAGGAAATGGCAAAGCACTCCAGATTCTTTGCCAAGAAAACCCCAAATGGGGTCATGAAGAGTCAGACACAAATGAAAAATGACTGAACAACTTGTCTTGGGATTAGAAGACATGTGTTCAAGTCCTGACTCACATGTACTGTGCAATCCTGGGCAAACCATTTCATACCTCTCCCAGCCCCAAGTTTCCTCATCTGCAAAATTTGATGTATTTTCCCACTCTGCTGTTTCCCTTCTAGCTCTATCTTTACTGATTGTATTTATGTAGTGAAAAATTTTATGTAGTTTTTATGAGCTCCTCTACATCTTTTTTTTTTTTGGTTAAGAATTCTTCCCCTAACAATAATTGTGATAATTACCTCTTCTCATTCTCTTCTAATTTATTATGGTATTTTCTTTAGTAGTCAAGTATCCATTTTAAACTTAATGAGCACACAGGTGTAAGATGTTGTTAAAACATTATTTTCCTCCCTCTGACTCTCCCCCATTTCTAAACTTCTGCCAAGTCCTGTTGATTCTACCTTCACAATACCTCCCCTATATATGCCTGCTTCTGTCTTCTGACACTGCTATCACCTTGGTGCAGGCCCTCAACATTTGCTACAAAAGCCCTTTGTTTGGTCTCCCTGACATAAGTCTCTTCCCAATCCAGTCTGTCATCCAACCAGCTTCCCAAATGATCACCCTAAACCACAGGTCTGACGATGTCACTCCCCTATTCAATAAACACCAGTGACTCCCTATGTCCTTCAGGATCAAATATAAAATCTGCTGTTTGACTTTTCATACCCCTCACAACCTAGACCTTCCCTATCTTTATACTCTTCTTATATTCTATTCTCTTCCAAATATTCTGTGATCCAATATTACTAATGGCCTTCTTGTTGGGCCTCAAACAAGACACTCTACCTCCTGACTAGGCATTTTCACTGGTTGACCTCTGCTCCTGAAATGCTCTCGCTCCTCATCTCCACCTCCTGTTTTCCGTGGCTTTCTTCAATTCTCAGCTAATATCTCATCTTCCACAAGAAGGAAGAAGGAAAGAAATCAGCATTTATTAAGAAACTATGTGTGAGGTACTGTTAAGAACTTTACAAATATTATCTCATTTGATCTGTATAATGGTGAGTGTTGCACTCTCATTTTAAAGCCAAGGGAACTGAGGCAAACAGTGGTTAAGTGACTTGCCCAGGATCATACAACTACTAAGTACTGTGTGTGAGGCAAGGTTTGAACTCAACTCTCTATATACTGCGTCACCTAGCTGAAGGCAAGAAGCCTTTCCCTGTCTTCCTTGATGTTAGTACCTTCTTCTGAGATTATCTTCAATCTGAAATAGGTATGTGTGATACACATATGTATTTATATGCATATATATCTTGTATGTACATATATGTTTACATGTTGCCTCCCCAACTAGAATAGGAGCTCCTTGAAGGCAGGGGCTATTTTTGCCCTTCTTTGCATCCCCAATGCTTAGAATAGTGCCTAGAACATAGTAAGGGCTTAATAACAGCTTGTTGACTTTTTTTCCAAGATGCCTTTCTCAATTTTCCTAATTTCTTGTCAAACAGGTAGTTTTTCTCCCAGGAATTTATGTTCCGAGTTCATAAGATACCAGGCTATTTTCATTTATTTCTCTTTTTGATTACTTTGTCTGTTCTACTGATATACTCTTCAGTTTTTAAACCAGCACCAAAGAGTTTTGATGACTATAGTTTTATGATATAATATGAGATCTGGTAATGCTAAACCCTTTACATTCATATTTCTCATTTGTACTTAAGAATCTAGGCATTTTATTCTTTCAAATGAATTTTATTATTTTGTCTAGTTCTATAAAGTATCCCTTCATTATATATAGCACTAAGTCTGCAATTTCATTTAGGTAGTATCATCATTTTTATTAATGGCACAGCCCAACTATGAATAAAGCGTGGATAATAATTCTCGTACTACCTACCTTTGAGAGCTGTTTCACTGAAAAGAGCTCATAAGCTTCTAAGTACTGCATAAAGGTTAAGTTAGAGTAATAACACTGTTTCTCTAGTAAAATGTTTTCCCAAATAGCTGACTGACAAATAAACTTTTGGAACATAAACTGGTCATATGATATATGCTACCTATATATAATTTTTGATCAGCTCATTTAACTCTCCTTTGGGATTATAAATTCCTCAAGGACAAAAGTAGCGTACTGTTCATATTTTAGAAATGTGCTCTTATATAAACTCCTCTGGTGTTTAAAGCCCTTCACAACCAAGCCCCAACCTACCTTTGCAGCCTGGTTACACATTATTCCTCTTCAGGCAATCTTCATTCCAGTCAAACTGGCCTTCTTGCTGTTCCTCATACACAACACTCCACCTCTTCTCCGTATGCCTTTGTACCAGATGTCCTTTGTGCCTGGAATTCATCCCCACATCACCTGAGCCTCTTAAACTTGCTTGTTTCTTTGAAATCTCAGTTCTAGTGCCCACTTCCACATGATTCCTTCTCTTAGTACTCTTCCCCAACCTGGTATTTGGCTTTAAAAAACCAAAACAAACAAACAAACAAACAAAAAACCCTTTGTATTTATATTTATAATCCCACTTTTAACCAAGTCTGGGACAGTTTTCCTGTGGGAGAGAGCCTCATTAAGTGGTACGTGGCCTTTGAACAATTAGGGAGAAATAACAGCCTGGAGCTACAAACTTGTAG